CTGCAAATGATCTCCTCTACCTTTAATTAATGGAAATGGGCCAGTCCCTTCTATAAATAACAGCTGAAATTCAAGGATTTTGAGCAGACAAACTATCAGGAATCCAGGATGGAGCGAATAGTGTTGTTTGCTGCCAGTGGTTACTATCTTATCAAGTTCTTATCAGGTGTCCACAGGCCACAAAAAGATTCACTCATAGTTGAAGGTCATGTTCCACCGATAAGATACAGTGTAGTGAACTGTTTGGTCAAGTGCTTTTGAGTTCAATTCAAGTCCAACTGACATCTTTTCAGCCTACATAGTGTGCATGTGCATGATACATGTTCACCGTTTTGTAGGTACTTTGCTAAATTGGCAACTAAATCCAACAGATTCCAATATTTAGAGCAAAGGGTTTTTAAAAAAGCGTCCCATGTCGGATGTTTTTACCCCACACAGAATCAACTGAATTTGTCAAAATCCTGTAACTTTTTGTGTTCAATTGAAACAATGTGCCTTGATATCAGCGCCTTCCACTTTTCTTTTTTTTTAATTTTTCGAAAAAAGCTACACTTACTAAACATTGGTTTAATTAATTTGTAATATCAAAACATGATATCAGAAAATTTGAGTTCATATGGAACATCCAAATCAAAGTGAAAAATCTAAAAGCTTGGGGGGTCTACACATATTTTATGCTTCAGTGCGCTGTCAAAAAATTGTATGAATGTACATCTTTATTATACAGAGAAGCATTACTTGTTTTTGTATTATTTACACTAGCACGTGTGGATAATAAACTTGAATTTGAATTTGAATGGAGCATTCTGGCAGTGCTAGTGTAAATAATGCAAAAAAATAATTGTATAAAAGTTATGGACTTGATTATCTTCTTTTTAATTTTTTTCATTTTCATTTTTTCATTTTTTTTTGGGGGGGGGGGGTTTCTTTTGTTTTGTTTTTGTTTTCCAGTGACTCTAACTATAACCTTGACTCAAACGAACTTGCGAAGGACCCAACTCAGAATTTACATGCATTAATAATAATAATAATAATAATAATTGGCATTTAAGAATGCTCCTATTAGTAAACTAAATCACAGCGCTTACAGTATTATTATTAGCCCTGATCATTGGGCCAATTAAACATTCCAAATACCATCTCAGCTCCCTGGGGAGTATACAGCTCGATGCTGCCTGTTAGGCGCAAGGAAGCTTATTCAATCACAATAACCATCTCTGCCCTCACAGGTACCCATTTACTCATGGGTGGAGAGAAGCAATGAGTGACAAAGTGCCTTGCCCAAGGGCACACGCACCATGACCCCAGGCAGGACTCGAACCCACAACCTGCAGCTGTACCCATTAATGGATAACATCTGCAAATGTTCAAAAACGAAACTGCCAAAAATATTATGAAATATCCTACTTTCAAAGTAAATAATAGTATCAAGCATCCTGTTGATATCAGTGCGCCTGGCATGCCGTCATTTTCAAGAAAAGAGGACTTACCATCATTTTCTCAGTTTAGACCAAACCGTTGCACGAAAAAAAAAAAATCATGTGACACTGGAAAAGGGTTTAATCCAGCCAGCCGGTCTTTATATCATCCGCTTAAAACTGGCCATGTGACAAGCTCTCGACCAATGGGAATGGATCAACTGTCTTAGGTATTTATGAATCATAATTACAAGTCACAGTCCTTTTTATTCTGTAAATCAGCCAAGGCCGATAGGAAAGCGTGCAGTACCTGCGTCAACAGCTTTCAAATTCATGGTCATTTCAAATTCACGGTCGTTTCTATTACCGCCGGCTTTCTGTTTGACAGGCTTACGTGCCGCTTCAGTCAGTCGCAATGTCAAGGACAGCTGATAAAGCCCGTAATCTGATATCATTCCGACTCAATGGGGAGGTGAATATAGGTTAAAGGGACGTGCGGCACGTACCGTACATCTACATTTTCATGCATATGTACAAATGTATAGCGCATATATGGTACATGTACATGTAAGATACAAGCCATATGGCACATATACTAGTGATAGAAAAGGATTTTTTTTTTTTATAAGTACATGTACATGTACATGTACATATGTTTTTTTTAATTGGGTAGGCTATTTGTTTTAGTTCACTTAAATTTAAAGGGAAAATACAACATTTGCAAACATCAAAAAATAAAACTACCAAATCATTTTGAAATACCTTGCTGGACTGTTAGTGAATGACAGTGTAAAGCATCCTGTAAAATCATGGCACCTGGTATACTGTCGTTTTCAAGAAAAGTGGTATTTTTGTATCAATTTCCAACGCTGATCGGCCGACCAGCGTTGGAAAAAACTGGCTTTTTTTCAAATACTGGCCCTAATTGACCATCGCACTTGTTTGCAATCGATTACACACCTATGAACGGGTACAAGCCAGCTAGACTGGTTCCCTGACCTTACAATTCCCCAATGTATGTAAACTGCTCTGTTTCTTCTTATATGGAGTCAGGGAACCAGACTACAGGAAAATGATTGTTTTTCTTGGTTTTTATAGCATTTTCGAACCCAAAACCTCAAAAAAGTCAGTGTAACTATATTTGCTATATATTTCCAACCCCCCAATTCCATCCATTTCTGAAAATTACAGCAAAAGCAAATGATGTGTATTCCCTTTAAAGGGAATGTACAACATTTGCTTTTGAGGCAATTTTCGGAAATAAATGGATTTGGAGATTAGTTAGGCCAAAAAAAAAAAATTACTCGGTCTCTGGTCAGCGCGCGCGTCGATTTTAATCATGAGCGTCAACCTTTTTTTTTCTTCAAATTAACACGGAAGCTACAACAGCGCCCTCTATTGCCGCGCCTCCGCAAATTTGGTACCAAGGAGCACCAAGGAATGGGGAAATTGCACCAAGGCAAATGATAAAGGGCACCAAGGCAAATTATGGAGGACACCAATGTATAATGAGGACACAAAAAAGCAAAATAGTACCCACCTTGTCTGTACAATACAAGCTTGAAAAAAAAAAAAGCCACCAAAAAAAAAAAAAAAAAACCGCGTCGCCGCATCAATTCCGGAACTTCGGTCTGACCAGAGACCGACGATTTTTTTTTTGGCCCTATAGCAAATATTGTTAAAATGACTTGTTTCACGTTTTGGGCTTGTAGATGCTGGAAAAACCAAGAAAACCAATCATGTTCTTTTAGCCTGGTTCCCTGACTCCACCTAAAATGAAACGGAGCAATTTATAGACTTTGGAGAATTGTAAATTCAGAGAATCAGTCTAGCTGGCTTGTACCCCTTTACAGGTGTGTAATTAACTGCAAAGAAAATGCGGAATAGCTAAATATAGAAAAAGTAGGAGCAGTTTTTTAAAATAGCCAGTTTTCTCCAACGCTGGTTGGCCGACCAGCGTTGGAAAAATACACTTTTTCTTGAAAAAGTCAGCACACCAGGAGCCACGATTTTACAGGATGCTTCAGACTGTCATTCCTTAACAATCCAGTAAGGTATTTCGTCATAATTTGATCATTTTATTTCTTGATGTTTGCAAATGTTGTATCTTCCCTTTAAATCAGGATGGGAAATCAATAACTCGCAGTGGAAATTAAGTTCAGTTTTCACTTTATGAAGGGTAAAAGCATCCTGATTATGATGCATGAGCAGTTAAAATGCAGAAATCCTATCTGGATTATATTACATGTGGTTAAACGTCACTGTAAAATAATCCTTCCGCATTGCATGTCACCAAAATATCATGCATATGGGTACAGCACATATTTTTAGCTGAGTTGTGGTTTATGGTTTTTGGTGCTTGATTGTTGTTTTGGAGAACAGAAGTTGAGAACATTTCAATCTTGGCGAATTTCTCTGTTTTACGAAGGAAAAAAATCACTTCATGCAAATCTGATTCAAGCGAACATGATTTTATTTGTTTATTTTTGTGAGAACTTGTGAACTACAAAACTTGGCTTCTTTAATTCCATGGCCTCCCATCACTACATGTAGTTTTTCCTAGAAAGGCCCATGCATATTTAACCATCTTTTAAATTTTCATTTTGCCACTTTGAAGGGTATTTTGATGCCTTTGTTTTATGCTGATGCGAATTTCCATATTCATGAGCAAAACTGTGACGTCATTCCAGGCAGATATCTGCACAAACAGTTGCTAGAATTTTGGCCATTTTGCTGTCATGAATTATCTTTTCTTTAGTGATTCGTTGTTGTGTACAATGTAAGTACAGCAGTAAGCCAATCGGCAACCTTTCTCACAAATGTTTTGAATGAGCAAATTTGGGGTTCACAATTTGAACAGATAGGCCTAACCCCTAAACTGAACAGTGTCTTCCTGAAATGACATCACAGCAACAGCGCCCTCAGTTGTCTGGAAAAGCATGAACAATTTTAAATGTTTAAAGTTCGAAGTGCACTTTCAATAAAATTAATCAAAAAGGGATGTCAAACAGTTTTCATACATTTAAGAGGAGTAGAAAATTGCGCAAAATTTGCTTTTCAGAAAAATTCATAGCATGCATGGACCCTTCAACTGAACCGTCCAGCATTCTACTCGCTTGGCTGTCTCGTCACATCAGATAACCGTCACAGATCCAAATGCTGAGCACTGTTCGATATTTGTCAAGTATTCGTCTGTTGTACTGCCTCTCTGTAGAACTCCCTACCTGAATCTTATTTCCCTTCTACCAACAATTTTCGACTATTTGAACAAATCTCTCCTGTCAAGCCCGGTTCATACTCGGCGCGAAAGCGAAAGCGAACGCGAATCTGTGACGTCATGGCAAGTATTCGCGCTGCGAATTCGTGAAAGTTGAACATATTCCAACTCCCCCGTATTTTGCAGCGAATGTTTCATGACGTCCAATTCGCTTCGCATTCGCATGCAGTATGAACCGGGCTGTAGTCAGACTCTGTTTTGTTCCTTTCTGTTCTTTCTAGGTTGTAGCCTGAACCTCGAGTGGCTCTTGGGCTTACTTTTGGTGATACCCGCAAAAAAAAGAAAAGAAGGACGTAAACACTGACCGCATAGTTCATGCTGACTGGCCTGGGCCGGACGTAGTCATCCTTGCTGCGCGTCCGCTCCAGCTCCACCAGCAGGTCGTCGTTGGGGACCAACATGCCGTCGTTGGCTGAGCAGTACCGCCGGATGGTCGGGTGCACCTCTAGTCTGTCCTTTTCCTTGGTCTCGGCGTCTGCGCAGCCCTGCACCAAGATGGCGATGGAGTTGGGGGAGAGCGGGAGTCTGGACTCTTCACTAGGGGAGAGGGTGCCATTCTGAGAAGAGAACATTATAGGACAAGTATTGAGAAAACTGAGATATCAATCAGTCCAGGAAAATGTCACAAGACTGGAACAATGTTAGGGAATCTGGAATCCTCAGCAAGAGTGACAGAATGCAAAGAGGGCAAAGTCGGGGGATGATTCAGAGGCACTCTTTGCAACTGCACATTGTCTCCGGCATTTTCTTCTACTACAGCGTCAGAATCTCTTAGCAACCTCCTGTGTCCACACAAAATTACTCTGGCCTCACATTTCAGGGTGTTTACTGTAGTTAAGGGGCAAGATGTTGTTCTGGTTTGATACGTGATAATGCGCCGCCGCGACAACCTGTCGGCGCGATAACATGTCGCCGTGAGAGGGCGTTATCATGATGAACCGATATCGCCCACGAACCGCCAGCAACAATGTCTAGGGAATCTTGTCAAATCTCCCCCTGAAAAATGGGGGAAACTAGAGGGCATGCACTACTTCTGCAGGTAATAACGGTCCATCTTCAGTCCTACGCATAATAAATACCACAAAAGAGCTGCCCAGTGAAGTTGCACAAAATCTTGCTGCATCTTGTATGCTACTGGAAGAAATGTGAAAAATTGGGTTGAAACTACTGTGAAAGGATTTGAATGCGCGCTGCATATATTAGGCCAAACAGGTGAGCGCATTACACAACCGCTACAAGATTCCCAAGAGGATGTTTCTGGCGGTTTGCGGGTGATAGTGGTTCTCCGTGGTAACGCCCTCTCGCGACAGCGGCTTATCGCGGCGGTGGTTTATTGCGTATCTACAACAATAACGTCTTCACCCCAGACTAACGTTACTGATGCAGAACACATTGAGCTGGAGTTCCCAAAGTCAAAATCCAAACATATTCCGCAGCAAAAGTTGGAGACAGTGCCAAAAGGTTCAAAACAATTGAGTATGTTCCTAGTACAGGTACCACTAAACAAGTCCTACTCTACTTGTACATCTGGGACTATGGCCTAAAGTCTTTCCAGGAAAAATTTGTTCAGGAAATCTCATCAGATGAGCACAAGTTAAATTTACAATGGATTTCAAAAATACCTGTAGAAATGCCACAATATATACAGACTCAGCAGACGGTGCTGTGTGTCTTACTCAGGAAAGCTCCAAACTGCGTACACATAGATTTTGTTAACATGTATATGGCAAAAGTACGATCAACTCATTTTCATCTGAATGACACGGACTCGAAGCATCTTCATGTAGGCGCCATGCACGACAGTAGTGTCTGTCTTTGCGAAGGTGCATGCAATTAAGCAAGAGGAATTCATGCAAACAACCACTTCATCAAACACTGTTTTGTAGATCCAACAATGTCCATAATTGCGTCATACTGGATGGCATTTTTTTGGCTTGTTATCTGTTTGCGCCAAAATATGTCTGTACTCTTGCCCATCATTTCTTTTCTTTCATTTTTCGGAGTAACTTTGGCCTCAGGTGGTGATGTGACATGTGTCATTAAAATCCTCTTAAGATTTATGGAAATTTGATAGGATTTAGTTTGTTATCCAAGCACCTGTGTCTTTTCAATTAGTAATTTTTTTGGGGGGGGAGGGAGATGTCATTTATTTATAGTAGAATATAGACATATAAATAGAAAATAGACATTTCAAGGATCACAAAAAAAAACAATTAAAGGACTGTGATAATTGGTAATTTGAGAGTCTGAATCTAAAAAAACCTTGTAAATTTGTTGTGTTATCTGTAGTGTGTACATTGGAAACAGTCAGTTAGACTCTCAACGCACTTCGTCCAACTGTACGAAGATTCTCAATTTGAAGTCTATCAAGTTATATATCAAACACAGCACTTGACAAAATGGGGAACTGTCAACACAGAGCTGACAGCCCAGTGAGTAGAGCACTGGAACGGCAATCCGGTGGTTGCAGGTACTAGGTTCAAACCCCGCTCTTGTTATTATTATTATTAATAATCATTTCTGGTAATGAAACCAAGGATTCCTCAAAAGTGCCCTAGGCACTGTAGCTCGCAAGCCTGAATAAACCTGTGGAGAGAAGGCAGTGAGAAGAAATGACAGTTTTAGAGGTGGGAGGAAAAGCCCGGAAGAATATTCTGGGGAAAACCCACGGAATCAGGTAGGGACTGAAAACCCAATCCAGGTATTGGCCCAGGCGTGATTCGAACCCGGGGCACAGCGGTGAAAGGCGAGGAAAGTACCGCTACGCCAACCTGACTCCCCAGTCTTTCTTTGTTCAACTTTAGATTGAAAAACAAATGGTACATCAGCTAAGTACCGGTACACGTCTTTCTCTGCAGGATGTGGTTCATGAACTCTGTGTACATGAAATTGCTTTCATTCAGGAAAAATAAATCAGTTAATACATGTACATTTTGTAAATTGTGTAAACCAATACATGTACACACACATATTATAGTGTGTACATGTATATGTACAGCGTGTGTCAATAAAAACGCAGGATTCAAAGCGATTTTTTTCTGAAAAAATTATGCTACTGGTGTGCCTAATTTGATAAGGATTTGATTGTCCATAATTTCATCTTTGACAAGATTTTTGTTTGGTGGAATTTGGACTTTTGGTTCAAAAGTTATGACAAGTTTTGTGAAGCCCTTCTGAAGCAGGTTGGTCTGATTCAATGACCTTAACACAATGACCAGTTATGTACAATGCAGGTATGCATTGAAGACAATTAAACCAGAACAAAACTTTCTTTGAAACAACTGATGATAAGTATCACTTAAATTTAATAACTGGACTATCATTGTTTCAAAGAATCATGAATGTCGTCTCTGACATATCAAATAACATTGATTGTGGACTAAAGGATTATGTAAACCTAATCCTGCCACACATGTCCTTCTTTGTGATCCACAAATACTTTCACCTGTACTGAATTCAAACCTTTCATTAGGTACAAATCAGACCAGCTTGGAATTTATACCCCTTCTTCAATGTACTCTATCTCTGGACAGGATTGTCCAAATGAGATGGGATAAAAAGCATAGTGAAGAGAAGGAAAGGTACTTTGAAAAGAGGGTTAACATTATGATGAATAGGGGTGGTTTATATTCTTAATATTTTTGTTTCTAATCCTGCGTTTTTATTGACACACGCTGTACAACTATAAGCATATTACTACCCTGTAAAACAAAGTGCAAAAAAAAAACTGTTCGGAACTAACAAAATGAATCAAAAATACCACTTCACCCAATACATGTGCAATTCTGTTGTGTACATGTACATGTGACTCTTTACAAAGTGCCCATACACAAAAAAACCAAAAATCTTTCAAAGGCATCAATTGTTTTTAGAAACCATCAATTTACATTAAATTACAAGATTAAGTAAACCTTGAAATATAAATCTCGCATGGTTATAAGAATCAATCCCGTGACGCATTAAATATCACTTTGCGCCAGTCCCTCCTGGAAATTGATCGGTGGCCGTGACAGGGAATGGATGAAAAAATAATTTAACGTGCAAATTCACTGGAACGTGGCTGGGACGGCTTGACGGCGCCATGTTATGGTCACTCATGCATCACTTAGGTCCTGCTGATAGCGTCCAGTCTGCTTTCATTATAAACCTGACTTCAGATATTGTATTTGCCGAGCAATCCTTCAAAGAGAGCGAGCGCAAGTCTTGTTTAAACAAGGAAGACATTTGCAACCAGTGAAATTGCAAAATGTTTTACTCGTGCGGAAAGAAAAATACATTTTGTCCCAGGATCTTAAAATAGAAAGCAGTTTCCTTTTCTCGTTATTTTTTTTGCAGACACAATGTTCCATGAAACAGAACTTGTTCCTGGGACTTGTTTTTTTTGTATTGGACTTCTACGGCCCGTCCCAAAATAACAGCAACAATTTTTTTTGCGCGAGGCTCTAGCGTCGCCACGGAAACACGTACCGCCATTATTTTTATACCATTTTAAAGCTTGGAATCTTAACTTTATCCCTGGTAAGTATTGGTTTGATTTTCAAAAGGGTTTTGAAATTGTTCGTGTTCGAATAAAGGCATGTCAAACACAAACTCAACCGAATTAAACGAAAATCAATCATGCACATTTTTTTGAATGTGGAAATGCTTCATCATGTTCATGTTGTGACGATCTCGTTGCCTTTTACTTTCTGTGTTTGCTTTTCTTTTTGATCCATGTAGACTTGACCTTATATCAATTCACAATATTGTTCTCCATTTAATGTTTAATGTGTTTTAATATAAATCAACTGTTTTTTGTTTGGTTATTTCAACAGATTGGTGACTCGAGTTTGCATCTGATGTACCGCATCATCGATTTTCCTTGAAATCGGTTGAGTTTGTTTTCAGCATGCCTTTATTTGAACATGAATAATTTAAACTCATTTAAATGTCAAACCGATACTCACCAGGGACAAAGTTAAGATTCAAAGCTTTAACATGGTATAAAAATAATGACGGCATGTGTTTCCACGCCGACACTAGAGCCTCGCAAAAAAAAGTTGCGGGTATTTTGGGATGCGCTGTACTCTCAAATAAATGCATCCCTGTCCAGCACTTCAAACTACAGTCCAACAGTGCTCAATTCTGCAATGCTGTTTCTGTCACCAATTTGTCTCATTTATTCTCACATGATATTGAGAATGCAGTGCTTCCATTAAATTAATCTAAAAATGCTGCTGATGTGTCATGTTTTGAATGCCATGCCCTATAGATCTTAACTGCACTTAAAAGGCTTGGCCCATCCTGTTCCAACCTTTATTTCTAACCCAAATTTATCACTGACAACAATTGTGGGTCTTCCTGGCAAAATGAGACAGAACCGGGCAGAGGTCGAAATGAGGGTTTGTGGGTATTAGGAAAGAGAATCAAATTCTCCTTGCAGTACTGTTTCTTGCAATTCAATCGGAGATTCTGTTTACATGTTATAGAGTTTGCATTAACTGGCATGTCAAGTAAGTAATACAAAGGAAAAAACAGACCTCTGAAGTTTTGACTGTTTTGTAGTGGTGAAAATGAA